AGCAACCCTATTTTCTATTTCTCTGTTTCTCTCTTTTTATATGCAACTCTCTAAGAATCCGACCAAACAAACCAATCAAGAGAAGATTCATCACATAGAGATGAACAGATCAGTAATCATGTCGCCGGAATCTCCTGTTTTCTTCCAGTCTCCGTTGGTTTTCTCTCCGACGTCGGTCAAAACGCCGTCGTCTTCACCGCGTTCGACACCTCCGAAGCTATCTATGGTAGCTTGTCCTCCAAGGAAGCTAATAGAGACGACTCCGAGTCCGGATTTTGATTCGGTGTTGAAAAGAAAAAGACCGCCGATGCTTGACCTAATAACGGTGGCTCCGCCGGTACCATCTTGGTGTAATACGACGGTGAAGACGCCGGAAAAAGCGGCGGAGGTTGTTGAAGCAGAGAAAGATGGATATTACTTTGTTTATTGCAAGAGAGGAAGACGTGGACCAATGGAAGATCGGTATTTCGCGGAGGTTGAATCCGACGACGAGGGACCTCGGAAAAAGGCTTTCTTCGGTGTTTTCGACGGTCACGGTGGATCCAACGCCGCGGAGTTCGCGGCGATGAATCTCCGGAACAATATTGAGGCGGCGATGGCGGGGGAGAGATCAAGAGAAGATGGTTACTCGATTGAGAGAGCGATAAGAGATGGTTACAATAAAACGGACGAGGATTTCTTGAAAGAAGGTTCGAAAGGTGGCGCGTGTTGTGTAACCGCTCTAATATCGAATGGCGAGCTTGCGGTTTCGAATGCAGGTGATTGCCGGGCTGTTATAAGCCGCGGTGGAGTTGCGGAAGCTCTTACGACTGATCACAATCCTTCTCAAGCAAATGAGCTCAAACGGATTGAAGCATTGGTGAGTCTTTATCATATGATTCTCTATATTGTGTTTTAACATTTAGATTTGAGGGATTGAGTTATATCATATCTATGGAATAGCGGAATGGATGAAAGAAAATGTGAATCCACTAATAATGTGATTGACTAATTTATGCAAAATTGAAGAATCATTCAACCATTCCGCAATTCAAATGA